CGGCGCGAGCCCCTCAGGTGGGCGCCGAGCTCCACCCGCGGCCCGCTTCCTGCATGGCACAGGCCGGACGCCGCAGGGACGCTGGGTCAGGGCGCAGTCTACACCACCCAGCCAGAGGACGCCGACTGACCGGTCACGTGACGCGCCGGTCACGTGCCCGTCGCGCCCCAGGCAAAAGCGTTGCTGGGGCGACCTGAGGCGCTGGGAAGGCGGAGCAGTGGAGGCCCTCAGGGCGACCACTCGGTCTAAGTAAGGCTGCTCTTAGACTCCACTCAGCTTCTCCTTCTCGGCCTAGAGGAAGGGAACCCCCCTCCCATCGGGAAGCTAGCAAATGAAAGCGGCAGCCGCGGGAACTAAGCGCTAAAACGTTTGTTTGTATGAACGAACAGGGTTTTTGTTGATGTTTTCCTTTTGCTCTCAGTCCCTACCCTAGAGAGATACTGATTGTATACAGTAAGAATGTGTAAATATAGAATTCATCAAAATTATAATTTTCATGAAGTTATTGATGTTCATGTAAATAAAAATGTATATATATATATTAGTGACTTTTTGACTGTACTTTGTCCACATTAACTCTTTCCTGATTATACCTCTACATTGGTATTCTTTGTGACTTCTCTTCCTCCCCAGTACTGTTGGTTGGACCCAGGGATTCTCTCAGAAGCTATCTCCGAGTTTCATCCCCAGATCTATCTCTTACAATTCTGATATTCCTGTTTCACCTTACAGAAACAGAGGGTCAGTCACTGGCAATTTTACTTACCCCGTAACTTTTTTACACGGTGCATTAAAGAGTTCTTTTTTTTTTTTTTGATTCATGAGAGATTTGTAAGCAAATCCCCGCAATCCTCCACTATTTTCTGTTGTCTGTTTAGCTAATCGCATTCCTCCCTATACTCCTGATCACTTTGCATACTTGGCTGTCCAGAGGCAAAGCATCTGGATACATAAAGCAAAGCCCAAACAGGTTCGTGTCTGTAAACCACATGACATTCATACAGAAAATGGGATAGTAAATTTTCTCCGTGCGTTTATTTTGCTGTGGAAAGTGGCAGTTACAACCTGAGAGACTCTTCCTGCCTCTTCCAGCAACAGGTGTTCCATGAGCACAGAACTACTCTCCCATTAATATAGTATATGCCTACAGGGAGTGAGCAAAAAAAGACAGTTCACTGATTTTGGGGTGTGTAAACCTACCATCCCACTGTAGGAAATGACAAAACCTTCCGGCTTCTAGAGGCATCTGTGAGTTTTTCCGGAGCTGGAAAGCATTGTTATGTAGGCAAAGCTAGAGTGAGTCCTAACTCCTGCATCACTACCTAAAAGATGTCGGAAACCTTTCCTCATCCGTCAGAGTCCTGAGGAAAAGGAGACGTCATGCATCTTTCCAAACCCAGAGTCCAAGTTCCTGTCCCCATTTCCGGCTGAGTAGGAGACTGTCAAGGAGGAAACAAAACTCGCGTGGGAAGAAATGTCTGTACTTATCATGTAAAGCTGCTAGTAAGTGGATTGTTTGGAGGTGACAATATGCTCAGTTCAAGAAGCCTTGTGGCGTTTGGCTAAATCCTCCCTGTCTGCTGTGCTTGTAGAGATGCTTTCCCTCTCCTGGAGATTGTAGATTATGGGATGCTAAGTGACGTGTGAACCAGGTGACCACTTTTGCCCTAGAACTAATCACAGTCAACTCTCCAAAAGGTTAAGCATATGAAGCATGAACTGACTTATCAGCTAAGGGGTCACTGCAAACAAAACACGCTGTTCTAGTCGATGTGGTACTGTGCGCCTATAATGTCTGCCCCTGGGAGGCTTTCAAGACAAGAGATCATGAATTCAAGGTCAAGTTTAGAGCTATATAATTGACCTGAAAAATGTGTGTGACAAAATATACTGCAATTTTCTACAACCATACTGGCATTTAGCACTGTATCTGGAGTGTGAGGAACAGGAAGTAGCAAACAAATTTAGAGAAGAATAACTAAGCCTTAACTATGCTGTGGAAGAGCCACCCTTGAAGACACCTCATTTCCTTATTTGCAGTCCCAGACAGCGTTCCATTAGTGTGACACCTGGGACACCTTCTGGTTTACTTTGGCTCTGGGGTGGGGTTCAATCCTAGATGACAGGGCAGTTTTCCTTTGTTGTTGTGTTGTGTTTATGAGGCCAACTTTGAGCTAATCAGAAGGCTCAATTCTTTCTTCTAGAATAAGGTGTTTACATAGTTCTATAATTGGAAAAATTCCAAACTACAATCCCAGAGAGTAAGGACATTATTTTAAGAAACAAAACAAAAATCCTACCATAGTGAAGCAGTGGTGGCACTTACCTTTAATCCCAGCACTTGAGAGACAGACACCAGCAGATCTCTATGAGTTGGAGGCCAACCTGGTCTACAGAACTAGTTCCATGACAGTTCTGGGATTACATAGAGAAGCCCTGTCTTGAAAAACCAAAAATGAATGAATAAATAAGTAAATAGATGATAGATTTTTTTAAAAGTCACAAATCTACAATAATGATGACATATCAGAACACAAGAGTCAGTCACATGAATGTGCTCTAAGTGGCCAAACCTTGAATAATCTGTACAAGAAGACTATAGATTGAGTTTTTCTGTGTCTCAACAGATGCTCAAAAATAATCATTCTGAAACTTATGATTAATTATAAATCCTCAGCCAATAGCTCAGGCTTGTTACTAGCTAACTCTTACGGCTTAAATTAACCCATTTATATGAATCTGCATTCTGCCATGTGGCATTACCTCTCTTTCATCTTGCACCTCCTCTTTCCTCTCTGTGTCTTGCTGGTGACTCTTCTCTCTCCACTCTTCCTCTCTCAGTGTCCTTTGTGTCTTGCTGTCACATCTTTATCTCTTGTTTAACTATAGGCCAGTCAGCTTTTTTAGTAACCAATGAGAGTAATACATATTTACAGTGTACAAAGTTTGTTCCACAACAGAAAACAACAGTGTTGAGTTAAAACCTAAAGAGTAAAAGTCTTATTAAAAGGTATTAAGGGTTAGAACTTCAACATTATGAATTTAGAGATAGAATTCAGACCCAAACTGACACTATATTATGCTGTGGTTTCAAATTAGTTCCTGAAAGCTCAGTGGTTTTAATGGAATAGGTTTACTTCTTGCTAATATAAAACCCAGTGAGCTGAGCAATCTCCTAGGGCAGCTGCCCAGTAAAGTAACTTGGAGACTCAGGCTGTTTACTGAATGTAGCTTCACAATGCTCTGAATTGATATTGTAGCATAAGAGAAAGGTGGAGAGTTTGGGTCTGATTTTAACCTAATTTACTTTATCAAATCTCACCCAAGGCACTTAAGCCACCTCCCCTCAATTATCAAAAGAAAAGTTTCTTAGCAACCATTTGAGAAATAACTTGAGAGACATCAAAGCAGTATATATGACAATGCAAAGACAGTTGCCACTGTTCCAAACGCTTCATTATGTCTTCATTTCTGCAACCCTCATTCAGAGAAGCCAACATCCATGCTCTTGTATATACCCTATTTTCTCATTTTTTCTAAGCCCCATGATTAAGTCTATATTACAATAGCTTTAATTCTCAACTCTGCTTCAAACTGGCCATTCCTAAAATTCTTTTCTTCATCAAACCCTGGGATGGCCTTGTCGAGTCTCCTTTGAAATAATGGTTGAGGGTAGCCATGCAAACCTGAGTAAATATTCCCTCACCACTGACAAAAATGATTCTCCTGCCTCAGCCTCCTGAGTAGATGAGAGTACAGGTTTCCACCAGGACATCCAACTTGCATTTTCTTCTTAGAAGGTTAGATATACACTGTTTTTTTGTTTTTGTTTTTGTTTTTATTTTTTGGTTTTCTGAGACAGGGTTTCTCTGTTGCTTTGGAGCGTATCTGGAACTCACTCTGTAGGCCTCGAACTCTCAGAGATCCACGTGCCTCTGTCTCCTGAGTGCTAACATTAAAGGTGTGTGCTATCACTGCCTGGCATGGGCATACACTTTGTGGATGATCTAGTCTGCTGTACTCTCTTCAGTGGAAGTTTTTTCTTTATATTTTGCTTCTATAAACTTTACATTCTTCTCTCTTGAAATATAATCACCTATAGCAAATATTGTAGCTAAGCAATGCTGTGTCCATTTCTAAATTCGTTTGAAGCTACTTAAACAGAAAAGCAACAAACCTTTAACTTCCCGATTCTCTTATAGTTGCATTCTCATCAGGGAAATGCCACTCAGCCAAACATCTCTCCTCGGAGAGGTAAAGGCTAGCTCAGAAAAAAAGAATCCTCTTTTTTCCCCCTGTTTTTGGGTTTGGTTTTTTGAGCCAATATATATATTTTCTGTATATCTCTACCTCTCTGGGAACTCGCTCTAGAGACCAGACTGGCCTAAACTTTAGAGCTTTGCCTGTTTCTGCCTCCTGAGTACTGGGATTAAAGGTGTGTATCTCTTGAAAGCATGCTTTTTATCCTAAGTCTTTTCCCTGTTACCTCCTTTTTCCTAGCTAATTCTTACTTGAGGTGCTTCAACTAAACAGACTCCTCCAGTAGGCCAGGCATCATCTGCTGCTCATTGAACAGTTCTACCCATTTCTCCTT